ATTGTAACATAATAACATAAATAAGTTATAATTAAAATTAATTTCAAAAACTTTGATAAAAGACAAATTTCTTCTTTCTTCGATGTACTAGACACCTGGCCTCTTCCCAATTAAATTTTATCTGAAACTATGAGTCTTACAGACAGTTGGTAGGACCCTTCGGACGGAGGATCGGCCCATCGCAAGATCGTTACCTATATAGGATAACAAAAACACAGGAATAGAACACAGGCATACATCCATTTCCGAGAGCGATTCGAACCCACGATTTCTGTGTTCGAGCGGGCGAAGGCATTTCTTGCTGCAAGGCCATTGTTACTGACTAACACAAAAATATTTCAGTAAACGTGAATATTACAAACCATGTGCGCAATAAATTGTAGACGAATACATCTGGACCGCCTCTGTCGTCTAGTGGTCAGAGATCCTGCCTACACATCCAGAGGTCCCGGGTTTGATTCCAGGCACTTCCATATTTTCTCAGAAGTAGTGGGTCTGGAATGGGGTCCACTCAGCCTCGTGAGGATAATTGAGGAGCTATTTCGAGGAAATAGCGACTCCGGTCTAGAAAACCGAGATTAACTGCCATGGACATCCGTTGTGTTGACCACGCGACACCCTCTATTCGCTAAAGTTGGCACTAACTTCGCCGACAAGCGGCGGTTGCTCGGTCGGTATAGTTCGCTTGCAGAGAAAGACCACGTAGTTTTTTCTTCAAATAGATCTGAATTAGTTTCTCCCCGTGAAGGTGAACTGTTTCGAACACTCGTGAGTTCTCTGGGCAATCACGTGATCATAGTTAAGTTCGATAAGTAATTATTCGATTAGTTACTTCAGCTGCAAGTCACAATTACCTTGTGATCATTAAGGGTCTATTAATGAGGCCTATACTATAATGACTATGTAACACTCCACTCGAGGAAGGATGGCATTTATTATTTCCACACACACATACTACGCATACTACAATTGTCTACTTACTTACTAACAGGGTACATATGTACAGATTCGGGAACATACTCAAGATTTCAACCCGTTTTTAATTTCTCGGTCAGTCTAGTTATTTGGCTACTAGCTAATCGACTAAGAAATAGAAGGTCGATTCACGGCATCGGAAAAAGTGTTTCCTCTTCTCCACGTCGTCCAAATAGCTCTAGGGCAAACTCATCCTCCCATTGAGTTTGCGCTGAGACTCAGAATGCGTGGAGCTTATCCCCATTTCCTTGCATATGTTAATTGTATGTGCTTAAAAAGACATAAGATAAATCTGTCCGTGTGCTTAACTAACTAAGCACTATGCTATGAAGGCCTATGGGAGAGGGGATGTATAGATCCATGTGTTCTTGACCTCGGCACTAATTGGAGGTGAATGTTCAGCTTCACGCCCTGGCTGCTTTACACCAGGGAAGGAGCCTCCCGTACCCACCGGATATCAGGCTGGGTGGGACCCAGAACCGATATGGACGACACGGAGTGAAATATCCTGCCCTACCTGGATCCTAACTCCGACTCCTCGGCCGTCCAGCGCTAAGCCAATCGCTACTATAGCAAAACCCGACTAAAAGGAATCCGGATTAAATGTGGAAGCTTTTCAATTGGAAAATTGGTCGAAATAATATTGGGCCTAAAGTGGAAACCAAGTTGGATGATGACTGTGACAAACGGAATCAGCTTAAATCGGTTGAGTGTCATCTCATATTGAACAGGCGAAGAACCCCTTTGTGAGTCATGTACAACATCTGTATATTTTTGGGTAAGAGGATTAGATACATAAATGATCGAAGTAAATACCATCACAACATTTATTAGAGCATGTCCTTCATTGAAAAGTGAGCGCTTAAGCTCTAAGATGAAATGTACCGTCCACAGAGCATTATTTATGCCTGCAATGTCGTATGCTTGCCTTGGGATTTGCAGCAAATATACACGTTTCGAAAGTGCATGGTGGGCCTTTGCTAAGGCACTGGTGTATGGTTTAGCGGAGTTTAAATGCCCGACTGGCCAAAACGGGGTACTTTGGCCACGAGGACTATTGTGGTCACTGGCATAGACGGAGCACTTCTGACGTTAAAGGTTAAACACAATGCTTAAATTGTTTAAGCGCCCTAACAGGTACGGCCGCAAAAAAAAAGCAAAAAATCTTCCCTCCCCCCGGTTCCGCCCTCTATCTATCCCTCCTCCTTTACCCTTTCTCCTAACTTCTTTCCATTTTCTTTTTCACAAAAATCCTACTGGTTTTGAACCAGGGACCTTCAGAACACTAAGCTGATATCTTACCCCTAGACCACCAGCACCATTGAAATTTGATTTCTTTTATCTTCCACTTAAGCTAGATCTTTGGTTTTAATTCCAGAAAAATCAATTCACTTACTTTCTAAATCACAAAACTATACTTGCTCTCGAACCTTAGAACTCTTGTTCACTACGCAGGTGTTTTACGACTAGGCCACCAATGCCACTGAAAATTTTGACCTTTAATCTCCCTCTTATGTTACATTTCGCTATATAATCCCATAAAAATTTGAATACAAAAATACTTCTGTTTTCAACCACGAACCTTATATTTACAACGGAGGTACCTTACCTCTAGACCACCAGAACATGTATTCCGTAGCTGTCTGAGATCGTCCTTATATTATACGACTTGATTTATAGCTGCAGAAAAATCGTATTTATTTATTCACTTTTCAATTACTATTGACAAAAGACACAGTGGTCTAGAACCCAGTACCTTCCCAATACTAGGCCAATGTCTTACCCACGTACCACCAGATCTATACAAATTTGTTACCTTCACCTTCCTCATATAGTACCACTTGCTTCCTACATGCACAAATTTCTTACATTCTTTTTTTTTCACAAAAATAGTCATGTCTTCCAACCACGTTATTTCTGAACCATACACCAATGCCCTATCAAAGGCCCACCATGGTTATGGCAAATATTCGCCTTCGTCTTCCACATATCCTACCGCTTCGTTTCTACAAAATTCCTCATTACTTCTTGCTTCGTTTCAAAGTCATTTTACGACTGACGGTTTGCCAGTCACTTTCTCTTGATTTAGAGCCCACTCAGACGCTCATGACCAGATCTTAGTCTTGAAGTAAGCTTCACTGTTTGGCCTTTAATGGACCTACATAAACATGAGCGCCGCTATGATTCTTTTTTCCAAGGAGGGTGTAACCAGAAAATATGTGTACATATGCGTTTGAGCGGTTAAAGAATCTTCTATTTTCAGATTGTCATATAGTTGTGGGTCTCTGTATTGAAAGAGTAGATAGCACAATACTTTAAAAAATATCCAGTTTGTGATGTTAATGTTTGCCGTATTTCTATATTTTTAAACTTTGATTTTGTCAAAAACTCCAGCAGGCGGCAGATGTTTGGCTTGCCCCCCATATCGGGGCACATTTTCAGATTTATGTTTTAAACCCGGTTCATGTGCTCCTATCCGCGTTGGTATAACCTTATTTTTAAGTCTCGCCACATAAGAGTTCCAAGTAAATTCAGAATTCATATTTTGATGCGAAGAGTGACCATAATAAAGCATATCAAATCGCACTCATATTTGCCCGCTGATATGAATTTTTATGCGAATGTGGTTATTGTTTCTAAATTATGGCACTATTCATTATATTTCAGAGATCTTGCTGTCTCCATATTTCTCTAGATTGTATAGTCCGATGTGGCCCATGAATATGTGGGCCGTATTGCAGAGATCCCTGAGCTTAAAGATAGGGGCTAGTAAGTACCATAGAAGTCGGCAATATTGCCTTCATCTATACACACCCTCACCTAGAAATAGGACCCAATTTACACGTAGGATTGAATCGCCAAGAATTCCTGAAATTATCTACTTCTTGTGTTTGTTGTAGGGTTTGAGATGGACTATATTCTTGGGCACTCTGGGAACTGCTTTGGGTTCATGGATTAAGGCAGTATCAGTTGCACCCGACAGATTCTGGGTCACCTTTACCGGACAGACCTTTGTAGCGTTGTCTCAGGTGTTTCTTGTGAGTATCCCACCGCGCTTGGCAGCCGTTTGGTTTGGCTCCGATCAAGTGTCAACTGCTTGCTCCATTGGAGTGTTCGGAAATCAGGTATGAACTGACGATATATGCAACAAAAATACTTTTCTGCACGCGAATAATGTGTTCATACTGCAATGTACTGCCTTCACGATTATTACACAGTGAACGCAAATGCAGACAAAGAATTCAGCGATAAAATGCAGTACTACGATCTGAGGAAAATGTGGGAGAATGTTGGTTGAATGGTAAGAATAATTGTCACATGGCGAGAGCTAATCAGTATTTATTGCAGCTACTGTTTGCTTTATGCGACTTTTACAAATTAATATCATATTTCGCAGATAATATGGATTTTAAAGAGGTTGTTCGGGGGTTATGTGGACATTTGAACGGAAAGATAAGATTTTTCAGCCAAACTTAAGAGAGAGAAAGAGAGAGAGCACGGTAGACTTATGCATGATCTCCCGAACTCATTGCTGAGTCATGTTGTGTCGGTCTTACGACAGCCGGATTCAGAGGGAGACTAGCAACATCACAACCTTATAGCTCTAGTTCAAATGTAATGGCCGCGCCATAGCTCAAGCGGTTAGTCGCTGGCTTTCCACCGCGGCGGCCCGGGTTCGATCCCGGATCTGGTGAAGTGGGATTTGTGGTGGACAACGTGGGCTTGGGCAAGTTTTCTCCGAGTACTTCGGTTTCCCTTGCCAATCTTTATTCCGCTAAATTCTCCATCATCATAATCACCCGGACAAGCTACAATAGGCCAATCAGTGGCCGCCGTGACGAGTGGACCCAGTTGGACTCCACCCCCCACTAAGCGAATTTTATACGTGTAGCTCCAGCTCAGCGTGACAATTGACGACTCGTTCGTCATTTTGTTTGAACGCTAAAATAGGCCAGTCTTGAAAACTGATTGGAAAATTAATACAACCTTCGTTCATTCTATACATCTTCATTTTTGCATCGGAAAAACAGCCAAGTATATGAAATAAGTATTTCAGTTCTGTGAGGTCATTGAAAGGAGGTCATTTATGGCAGAAGATATTCAAAATTTGGCATTTCCATTATAACACCAATCACCCCATTTCCACTGCTAGTTCCACGCCATAGTAATTGCGAATGATATATGGAAATAATGCTCTGACTAAGGCACTTTTGTTGTGAACACAGTAACCCAGTTGTTTCCAAAGTTTACAGTTTTTCGGAGCGCAGAACACATTCAAAAGTTGACTTTCTTTTTTGTGACATCAATCGAACTAGCAACAATATTAGTACTGACAGCGGAAAGCACGATATCATAACGTCACCTCTACATCATGAGTAGTAACAGCAGCAGCAGCAGTAAAAACAATCATTAATACAGCGTGATTCATATAGAACCGGCCCGACGAAATGAGCTGTAATATAAAATACACCATACAGATATTAAAGTAATTTACACATATCTTATCTTGGATTGTGTGCCGTGATCAGAGCAG